GACCCGCCATCCAGTCGAAGGCTGGTACGAGACCAACCTAACGTGGAAAGGCAACCACCCACCGCTACCATCCAATCGCTCTGGCAGCCTCACTCGTACGAAAAGCCAAATCAATAAATTGAGACGAGATGGAAATCTCGAAGCGTATGATACAATCATTCAAGAACAACTCGCCGAAGGGGTTGTTGAAAAGGCGCCTGAAAAAGTCGTGGGAAGAGAATGCTACGTGCCTCACCGCGCCGTTATCTGTGATGAAGCCGAGAGCACGAAGATGAGAATTGTTTACGATTGTTCAGCAAAAGCCGACCGAAATTCCCCGTCGCTTAACGACTGCCTAGACCCAGGCCCCCCTCTACAAAACAAATTGTGGAATGTGTTGGTTCGTGGTTGATTTCACCCAATGTGTTTGACCGGTGATTTACGCAAAGCCTTTCTGCAAGTGCGAATTAGAGACGGTGATCGTGATGCACTTCGGTTCCGCTGGTTGAAGAGTCTCTATTCGAACGAAATGGAAACCTATTGATTTACTCGTGCATTGTTTGGCCTGGCACCTTCGCCTTTCGTACTTGGAGGTGTTATCGAGCAACATCTTATTGGTTGGGAACCAAGGCACCCTCAAAGCGTACAAGAAATCCGTCGCAGTTTATACGTAGATAATCTGATATCCGGGGTACAGCTGTTAACGAAGTGCAAGAGCTTAAACGAAATGCAATTGAGACTTTTGACGACGCCAGTTTTCATCTTCATAAATGGCACTTTAACGTTCCAGAACTAGAGACTATGGAGCCGAGTACTGGAAGTTATGCTGATATGGAACCATCATTTGTTGAACAACAGTTGAACATTTCTCAGTCTAATAAAACAATCATTCTTGGCTTGCCGTGGGATTACGACAAAGATACTTTGAGCGTGACGTTTCCAAAGAAGTTAAGCGAAGAACCCAGGAAACGCGGAATTCTTGGAAAATTAGCGAAGGTCTGCGTCCCAATTGGATTAGTTTCCCCTGTCACCCTCGAAGGCAAGGTCATCTATCGAAACGCGTGCGATTCGAAACTGAGCTGGAATACACCTATACGCGAATCACTGTTGAAAGAATGGTTGAAGTGGGAAGATTCCTTACCCGAGCGCGTCGCCTTTGACCGTACCTTGGTCCCCCACAGAGAGCCTATCGAAGCAGTGGAACTTCACTCGTTTGGCGACGCCAGTGGTGGTGGTGTTTGCTCTGAAGTGTATGCCGTCGTTCGACAGCAATCAGGAGTTAGTCAAGTTCTTGTTAAGGCTAAATCGAGATTGGCGAAACGTGCGTTAACTATTCCAAGATTGGAATTGGTTGCTGCGCATATGGCGGTGAATCTCGTCCAAAATGTTCGCGAGGCAATCGAAGGCTTTCCTATAACCGGAGTGTATTGTTGGCTCGACAGTACAGTCGCTCTCCACTGGATCTGTGGCAATGGGGAGTACCGCCAATTCGTTGCTAACAGAGTTCAAAAGATACAAGCTCATGATGTTAATGGTTGGAGATATGCACCCACAGCCCAAAATCCTGCAGATATTGGTAGTCGTGGTGGACCTGTCAACGATTTGAAACTCTGGTGGCATGGCCCTGTGTAGTTACCTTCTGCTGAGTCATGGCGCACGAATCCAGTTACAAGTGAGAGCTCAGAATCTGCTGCTGAATCCAAGATAATCCAATCTGTTCTTGCCACCGTTGAAGATGAACTTGATGTCTTCGATGAGCTGATAGAAAAACGTGATTTGCCCACTACCTTGCGTGTGTGTACTTGGATTTCCAGATTCGTGCACAATTCATTGCGAAAGCCCAAGATTTACGGTCCTCTTACGGCGGAAGAATTACAACAACAACGAAACTGGTGGATCCTACAAGAGCAAGCCCGAGCGAAAACTCATCGAAAGTTTGTTGTTGACAGCGTTCAATTAAATTTACAAGAAAATACAGCAGAAATTCTCGAATGTCGCGGCCGTATTCAAGTCGTATTGCCAACTTATCTCTCAGATACTGGAACATTTGCTGAGAAATTAGTGGCAGAAACCCATATTGACACCTTACACGGTGGTATGCTGCTTACCATGGCGAAAATCCGTGAGTTATATTGGATTCCGCCTGTACGAAGCCTAGCAAAACGAGTCATTGGACAGTGTTACGGATGTAAACGATTTCAAGCCCAAGCACTTTCGAAACCACCGCCTGGTTTGTTACCAACTTCCCGTACCGAAGGTTCAAGAGCGTTTGAATCCGTTGGTGTAGACTTCGCGGGTCCTATTCGCTATCGTCGCAAAGGAAAGGTAGAGTCGAAAGCTTATCTTGTTCTGTATGCCCGCTGCCTAACTCGAGCCCTGTTCTTGGAAGTGTTGCCTAGCCTCGAAGCAACAGAATTTGTCGCAAGCTTGAAAAGATTCGTTGCACGTCGTGGTCGTCCCAAACGAATTTATTCAGATAACGGGAAAACCTTTGTTGCAGCGGCTCGTTGGCTGAAAAGGGTTCAGCGAGACGAGAAGCTGAACAGCCTTCTTTCTGAACATTGTATTGCATGGTCTTTTAACCTCAGCGGAGCTCCATGGTGGGGCGGACAGTTTGAACGCTTAATAGAAGTGTTTAAGTCTTCCTTTTACAAGTCTATTGGAAATGGTTTACTTACATGGCCAGAATTGTGCGAAGTCGTGTTGGATGTCGAAGTGGCTCTCAACAATCGCCCCCTCAGTTACCTGGAAGAAGATATCCAACCACCAGTGTTGACACCGGCATCATTTCTCTTCCAAGGTTCCATCTTGCTACCGGAGCAAGATCCAGCAGTCGTGGAAAACAAAGACTTACGAAAGCGCGAGAAATATCTAAGAAAGTGCAAAGATCATTTGTGGTCTCGTTGGACTGCAGAATACCTCCGTGCACTAAGAGAACGACACTGTATGAGGAGCGGTAAAACGGAATCAAAGTTACAAGTTGGAGATGTTGTCATCATCAAGTCTCAAGAGAGAAATCGTGGAAAGTGGCTTTTGGGGATTGTCGTGAAACTAGTGAAGGGAAAAGATGGTATTGTGCGAGCTGTGAAGTTACGGGCTGGTAAAGATCATCTAGAACGTCCAATCCAGCATCTCTATCCGTTAGAGTTATCGTGCGATCGTTCCGAGAAAAATGCATTACGTGCTGAAGCACCGGTGTTTCGCCCTAAACGTGTGGCGGCTGTACAAGCGAAGGAGAAGATCAAGAGACAAGCTGCTGTGCAAGACAGCTAAGTGACTGAACTTATGTACCTTTTATATATATATATATATATATATATATATATATATATATATATATATATATATATATATATATATATATATATATATATATATATATATATTGTTGTTTACCTGACGAGACAATTCCTCCTTTCATGTGCCTTCCTTCTGAAGTCACATGGGGGAGTGTGTCGGAAATTGCCTTAATTAAACTACGTGTTATCATGTACTGTTCATCTAGAACCTATTATTCGAACTTACGTCATTAGTTAATTGAACTCATATTAGTCCTTTTTGTTGTGTTAAAAGATAAGTGTCTGTGCATGTTTACGGTCTTGTGAGATTGTGAGCCAAGTGAGCGAGAGCTAAATCTTTGTGAAATATAATTTTATGTTTATGACTAAACTGTGAGTAAATTTGTGATCTTGTGGGATCGTAGTGCGTTCACTAACCGAACCTGCCGTTCTCCACAATGTCTTTGCCGTTCTGCCAACTCTGGCTTCGGTGAAAGTCTTATTTGTCAGGTCTTACCGGCATTGCTTTCTGAGCCATATCGCCTTCGTCATGGTACGATAAAGAATTTCGTTATTGCTGTTGTTATCCCGTTAAAAATTGTATATCCGCGTCCAGCAAGTTGAGACCTTGAGAAAGCTTGGCAGTCAAGCCGTTTGTTTAGATCCCTCGTTTAATGATGAAACAAATGATTTTAGCGTATTTTCTTGACGCACTTTAATTCCAATTGCGGAAAGTAGATCGCAGAGAACAAAACTATTTGCATATATTTTAATATACTGTGAAATAGTACCGTGTTTAAATAAAGTTGAAGTTGAATTCAGTCCTTGCACTGTTGCAAAGAACAGACTAAATCTTTGTTTAAGTTCAAAATGGACACGCTGCGGACATGTTGATGAGAATATAACTAAATAAGTGTTTTATTATATATCAATAGCCAAAGAAACAACAAATTAAAGAACAAATGAATGTAAATACATGAAATATTTTATTGTTAAAACGTTATATGAAACACTGGCTACACTACAGCTACTTAAAGCGAAAGTTTTAATTACGTACTAGTTATGTCCAAAGGTCGCATCTTCACGTGATGGCGCACGTGATTTGTTTTGTTATTCGCCGGTCCCGATAACGTATTATCTCCCTCTCGCGCTGTTGCGAGGGAGACAGCCTAATTTCGTCACTTTCACGTGATATGCTCTCAACTAACACTAGAAAAATGCGACTTTCACTATTGATATATAATAACTTTGCTTACTTACAAGTTGCTCGAGCAAAAAGTGGACAATCAAACTGACAATTCATTAAAGTTTTTTTGTGAATTTACATAATTATCATAGTAATGTGAAATATTGAAATTAACTGACGATCAAATCAGACGTCGTTTGACATAATTGTGATGAAAACTGCATGGCTTAAGCATCATGATTATATAGATATATTATTGTAGGCTACTATTAGATTTGAATTTTGAAAGTAAATGGAGAAAAAACGATCGAAACGAAACGTGTCGCGGTGTTAGGTTCAGATTTTGCTGTAATTTCGAAGTCAAGGTATATAATTTTAAAAACATGTTTAAATGAAATTTCGGATTGTTGGAGATGCAACTGACCTGTAAAATACAAGTGGATCTTTGACGTTTCCAAATTCAATTTCCTAAAGAAGTAAACGTCGAAGATATCTTTGAATTTTTTGCATATTTGCTCCCTGTACTGACGTCATTTCGAGGCTTTCCTATTATTGGCATTACCTACACCTGCACAGATCGTTCGAGATTATACAATTCTGTAGTTGTTTTTTAGAAGAACGAAGCAACAACACAAGCGGGATTTGAAAGTAATACATATGTAATATGTGGGTCCGTAAAAGAACAAATCAAGGACATATATATTACAGATCTAGTCTATGAATGCATAAACGTTCACGCAGTTATATCGTAATTCTTGATTAGCCACAAGGCAATAAACACTGCATGCTGAAGCATTAGAGATATAGTGATTGCTTTCACAATCATACTTTCAAAAACTCAATAACAATTCATGAGGAAAACACCAAAAAATAATAAGCGTGTCGTATCTTTATATGTGATAGAGATTTCCCTTGATTTACACAAACTTTAACTTTGATTTTCTCGACTTATACAACGTATTTGTTGACAATTTCTTTGTCAATGAACTTACTCGATCGATCGTTTTTGATCCGGTAAAAACATTGATTTCGCAGTGCGAGTTTTATCACACCTAATTTTATCACACAAAATCTTAAGCTATATTTATATATATATATATATATATATATATATATATATATATATATATATATATATATATATATATATATATATATATATATATACATATATTAATTATTTAATCTTAAAAATTATACATGTTGCTACTCAGAGTTTCATGCAATTTCGCAATATTCAGGCAACTGTTATTACAAGTTCAGTTCTGTTTGTTGACGCTACTCACTAACGGTTTTCTGACGCGTGCGTTCGTTTGTCACGCACGTTCTCAAATTTTCCGCGTGGAATTTCTCTGCGTAGCGGCACTTCGCAAATATTTCTGATCTTCGATTAAGAGCTTTATTTGCGTTTAAAAGGCACAGTTTTTCTTCGGTGCACAAACTGCAGTGCTTTTCACCTGCCGAATACGACGGAGCTCGTTTCAAGATTGAGCACTTGATTCCGTAATCTTTCCCAGCGTTCTTTAATTTCCATACGTATTTCGAAAGTTCTGTGTCAAATTCGTATCTTTTGTGCTTGAGCGATTTTCGATTTCTAACTTTGAAATCATTTGCCGTCATTCCGATGTATTGCTTCGTTTCGCGCTCTATATATATATATATATATATATATATATATATATATATATATATATATATGATAAAACACGGCAACTAAAGTTAAAGTATTCGCTTTTTAAAGGAAGAAAAAGTTTCCCGTCGTACCATATCGAAATTGCTCGTTTTTGGCCAATTTTTTTTTTAAACTTGGATATTTCCAAACAAAACGGGCGCCTTTAATGTTAATTAGCATGTTAATGTTAATTTAGCCAAAATAGCAGTTTTCATCACAAAAAAGGGAACTTTTAGTCATTTGAAAAAATTGGGTGGGGAGGGCACGTGCGTCCCCTCGTGCCCCCATCCCCGATTCCTACGCCACTGTCTGGAATACTCTGGTTACAATTTGTATTTGTACATTAATTGTTTGTATTTTGGGATTACTCATCTATTAGCAAAATCACCACCAACCAGTGACCTATAAGTCAAAATTATTGTTGACACAGTTATAACAGCAGTGTTTTAACGATTCGAGACATTGACTCGGACTCTTATCCCATACCTGTGTTAAAAGCGGCTTTCTGATTGGTTTAGAGCAGGTGAGCTTGTCGTCGAGCTCACCTGCTTTTTGCCGAACTCATCTGCTTTTCGCCCGAACTCACCCGCTAAACTGCTTACGTTGCAATAACAATAACAAATATGGCGGACAAGATTTAGCCGATAAACCTAAATTTAAAGAACTTTTTTCGGTGACTAACATACTGAGACTGAAGAAAAACCAAAGAAAAAATGCAGTAAAGGTAATGTACACGTAGATAAAGAAGTATTTTCTTGCCCAGTGATTTTTTTGGCCGGGAAAATGTTCACACAACATCGACGAATATATCGCGAAGAGCTACAAATGTGTGTATGGCTCGGTGTATGGGATAAAAACCAAACGTACTTGCAGGTTCGGTGAGTCCGGGATTGGACGCACCTCAGGTGGCTGGAAGTTTCCCGAACTCACCTCGCTTCGCTCGGTAAGTTCGGGAAACTTCCAGCCACCCTCGGTGCGTCCAATCCCGGACTCACCTCCCTGCAAGTACGTTTGTTATAGAGTCGACTCGAGTCTCTATTTTCAGCGACTCGAGTCCAATACAAAAAATGACTTGAGTCGAGTCGAGTCAACAGCCTCAAATAACTCAGAATCGGACTGGACTTGATGATTTTTGTGCTAAATGACTCGAGTCAACACAGCTACAACTTGTACAAATTAAATTCATCAAAATTATTGTGATTGTATTGCTTGGGAAAGACAATGAGTCCTGTTAACAACAAGAACTTCGAAACTTCGAACATAGTTTTTAAAATGCAGTCTCAAAATGTTGTGTACTCATAGTAATTTTTACCGTGTCTATTCATTTTTTGTATTTATGAAGTGCTATATATCATTTTAAACTAACTTACAAAGCGTGATTAATTAAACTCTATTCTTAGTTAACTCTGACTCCAGTTGCAAGTTACGCTAGTTGTTTGTACCTACATTTGATCAGCAGGCATGATCATGATCAAACATTGCATGTAATCGTACTTAATATTGACTAGGACTGTGATATTGGTACAGCCTAGCTGCCCAGATACTGTTATATAATGACTAGAATAATTAGTTTAAAACGTACATTTGATTACTAATTTCAGACTGCAAGCTAGGCTGGTAAACCATTACAGAAATCGTGGGGTGGACTCGATCAAATTCCCTGACTCAAGTCAAATTTAGCTATTGACTCGACTCGACTTAAACTGACTCGACTCGATCAGAAACTGAAATGACTCAACGTGACTCGACACGACCGGCGTAACTCGACCGGTAGATGAAACGTTACAACATGGACTGTATATTAATAGTTATGCTGTCAAAGTGTGTTTGACTAATCTAATATCCATTCTTATAGCCACCACGGTCGAGTTTTGCAGTGATGTTTACAAATCAAACATACAATGGTACATGGAATAACAGTGATTGGAAATATTTTGGTGTGGAATATGATGCATTTCTGACACAAGTTGAGCTAGCACAGAAAATAATATTAATCGTTATTGCCATTCTCACAATTCTGGGCAATATTTTGGTGTTGGTAGTGACCTGGAGAGAAAAAAGTCTTCATCAACCTAATAAGTATTTTATTGCCTTCCTGGCCGTTGCTGATCTTTTGGTTGGTATGTTTTTAGACCCACTGAAAGCCAATGAACTCACTCGCGAGTCCAAAGCGCAACATACCATGTCCATTCATTTATGTCGTTTTACTGTGTGGATAGATAACTTCGCGCTAACAGCATCGATTTGGAGTTTAGCGGTCATTAGTTTTGATCGTTATCTCAAAATCAGCAAACCTCTTCAGTATAAGTCGAAAATGACTACTTCTAAATCATTCAAAATAATTTTTAGCATTTTGTTGGCTTCAATTGCTTTTGCCACCTACGCCGCCACTCCTTATTCAGGAAGCTATGGAATTCTCTTGGTGGGTAACAATTTACATACTTATTGCCCATCCGATGATAATAAAGAAAAAGGGTTCTATACTTTCTTATCAGTCGCGTTCTTTCTATCTACTGTGGTCATAATGGTTATGTACGCTCTCATCTTTGTTATTGCTCACAAAAGACAAAAGATGCTGCAAAACGGCGAACTGGGTCAAACTTGGAATGATCGGAACCAACGAAGTGTCTTTCTTCAAGATCTCAAGGTTATCCGAATGTTGTTGGTCATCGTGGGAGTGTACATACTTTGCTGGTTTCCTTTCGTGATTTATAGTACGTTGGCGCGCTACAATCGGAAAATTATTGATCGGGACAGCACGTCATTAAATTATTGGTATTCGATCATCATATCACTAACGGTAGTTGGCCTGCTGCCGCTGTTTAACAGCCTCTGCAATCCGATAATTTACGCCTGTTTGGACCGAAAATACAGAGAAGCTTTCAAAAATCTCTTTCAACGAATAATATGTCGGTCAAACTCACAAAGTCGACAACCACAAATCGGAATAGAGTTACGTCCTCCAAGAACAAGAGAAAGAAACATCTCAGTAAATTGCGAATTGTAGATTGGGGCATAAACTATATATTTCCTGAAGAGATGAATTTTGACACTAAAACAATTAAACTTGTTCCAGTTAAACAAATGTTACCACCGTTTAATTAAAATAAAAT